TCGAACAGATCCCACTTTCCACCTTTAAGATGCGGTAGCCTCAAGCTTGTGATGAGCGAACTTGATACATCAAAGTGCCTGTCGTACACAAAGAACTGGTTTCCAGCACCAATGACAAGATGCCCATCGCCCAGCCAGGTCGAGTCGCCGATAGGATGGGGTGTGAGAATGCGGGTGCTGATTTCTCTGATTGGTGCCCAGGCGGGTCCCTTGTTGAGGTAGTCAAACCGCATCTGTGAAAGTAGCAATACCCGATGGGGGAATCCGACGGCTAGAATGGACTGGCCATCGGGGGTTGAAGTCCAGTCAAGGTCACGGATAGTGTTATGGTTCTCAAAATCCTGAGAGTACTCAAGGCGGCCGCCCCGAACACCCCAGATTGTGAGTTCGGATCGAGTCGAGTCGACGAGGGCTGCCTTTTTCAGGCTGTTGCCGCTGACCAATATTGGATTAGACAGTCCTGTCTCCATGGAGTTCGTGGAAAGCCACTCGACGTGTTTTTTTTCTTGATCTACCCGGGCTGTCCAGAATTCGACTCTTCCAGAGTGCGTGTAGGAGATGGCAACGTCGACAGCGAAGACGTCCAGGAACCCAGACACCACAGGCGAAGAGCCGGCGGGATCCACAGGAAGAACATATGCCAAATCACCAGCATCCTTGAGTTCAAATTTGGTGAATTCCCGGACCGTACCCTCTTGGTGATACCCAATGCCGTTAACGGCTGGGACGTTTTCTTGTGGTTTGTAAAAAGGCAGCTTGACTTCCCAGACAATGCCTTGCTTCTCCGATGTTATGGTGGCCACATGGGCGGTCGTATAATCTTCTATATGCTGCCTTGGAAGAATGAGCAGACAAAGTGGCTTGCCGGGAACATCGTAGTCTACTTCTGATAGCAACACAGGATTCGTTTTGCGACAATCCCAAAGGGAGATTGTTTTCTGTCGAAGGTACAGGACAAAGCGGCCTTTACGGATGAGTAACATTCGATGGACATGGCTATCCAGGTCGATGGCTGCCTGCTGAGAAAGGCCAGTTCTCTTTTCGTTGAGCTCATGTCTCCAGACGATGCTTTGGCCTGAGTCTGTCCGCGACACAATAGCACGGCCGCTATAGTTCCGGACAATCTTCTTTACGGGAGCAGAGTGACCGGTCCACAGGCACCTGAAGCTCAATCGCCTAGTCTGCGGAGTTGGATCAAACAGTGTGGCGATGTTGGTTCGGTAGACCTCTACCGTGCCGTCAAAGAAGTGTAGCAAGACGTGCAGGTGGATTCCAGCATTGCAGTAACTGTAGGCCTCGACATGAGGCACATTTGTTGTGACACCCTTCAGAAAGTCGAGTTCTGGCGATGTGACATGAGCGACGTTAAAGATGTTGCACTTTTGTGACCTCGATCCAACGTTCTCGAGACCCCAAGCTGACATGTGGCCTCGACCGTCCAACACAACAACAACCTCGGGGCTGCGATTAGCTACTGTAATGACATGCTCAAGGGCTGTCGTGTCCTGATCTGGTCGAGCTTCCTGAACGGCCGTTTCTGTCGCCGCAGACAGATCTCTCCCATGTAGTATGAAAGCCCAACGGAGGGGAGGTACGGCTGGGTCTTTTAATACCTGATCCTGTATCGACACCGCCAGGTCTACCGTAGCACACAGCTGAAGATGTTGCTGACCATGGCCGTCCGAGCCTGCCCAGAGCCGGAGTTTGTTATCAGTGCAAAACGTGTAGAGCACATTGTCAATAGTCTGATCAAGGTGGCGAGGCCGGCGCCACTGCATGTTGGTCACGGCTTGAGGATGTGGTAGGTAGAGAAAATCGAAGCGCACATCGTCGGATCCGTAGCTGAGTCGTCGCCAGACTTTCACCAAGCGGTCGTGCTGGCCCACGGTAGCGATATATGCGGAATCATAGGACACGCTAGCAATCCGAACGGGGTTGGCCAGGCATTTGCGCCACAGACATGGTGGTGTAGATGATGACGTTGCTTGGTATAACTCGAGATGAGAGTGTGCAACTACCAGTTCTTCGGATGCGCCCCAGGAGAGGGAGATGGGCGTCCTATCCTCCACCGCACACGGATCTCGCTCGACATTGAAGGAACATTGCAACGCCCACTGTGATGCGACGAGTAAGCAGCGTTAGTGCATCTTGATGTCGGCAACAAGAAGTGTAAGTCGAAGGCGCACAACATACCCTAAGTGCGTCGTCCTCCTGGCCGAACGGTTTGTATATGCGCACTGTGTTGTATGTGCAGACAGCTATTTTGCCCGATGCCTCGTCCAGGGCGATAGCCTCTAAAGGGTCCTCGTTGTCATCGTAAATAGTCTGTAGGATGGTCGGTGGCTCTCCAAGGATGGCAATGGCGCTGCCGGTGATATATGCCTGGTTTAGGCGACTATGAGTTAGCAAGACCGCCTTCGTATACAAAAGAGCCAAAAGGATATATCTCACGGTTATGCGACGAGAATCCCAGTAGCCCGTCGCCAGAGCTTGAAGCCGGGATTCTGGCTTTCCGGGCAGGACAGCTTTCATACTAAACTACCTTAGCGGCGCGGGATGCTGCTAGAGGTACTGCTAGCTAACATTGCGACGGGCAGTCGATGTGCGCGGCCTTGGGTTGACCCGTATCAGGGAGGAGACGACGAGATCTAAAGACGTTGAAGACAAATGGCGTGTTTGCGATGCAATTGGTGGTGTCGATGGAGTCGGATGCGATCGATGTCGTGGATGTGATGCGTGTTGTTCTCTGGAGCTACTTTAGGTACCTCCTCTAAGGTAGTTGCTAGATGGGGGGGTCGGGGTCTTGGGAGGGGGGGTTGCCGAGCGCCTCCACTGCGAGTCCCTTTGCTGTGGTTGCCCACGCCCGGTTCCCTATGACGTGTGCTAATGGAAGATAGGTACCTCCAGAGGGAAGGAAGGTCGGGTCGAAAGGCCGTACACTAGTACCTCTAGGTAGCGAAAGTCTAGAAAATAAAAAAACAATGTGTCGCTTTTCGATTCGAGGCCAAAGCCTACCTCTAGGTAGGTATGACCTGAACCAAGCGATCCCTATTCAGAAGGGAAGCAGCTTCTTCTGAATGCGTCGGCATTGGTTGTGAATACCTAGCCATGTATGCTGACGCAGGTCCAAGCGCAGAGCTGCAAGCAGTGGACCCAAAAGTCCATTCAGGGGTATTTGTTTACTTCCGTCAGGTCCCGAAGAACGGCAACACCACTTTACACCTTCACCAAACAATGCCTTGTACGCGAATGCTACATCTATCTTACATTTGAGCAGGAAATGCAATATTATAGGATTACTCATCTCCTCTAAGGAGCGCCCGGTACGCCCTTGAGCACGCCGTTATCATCGTACTTTGCCTCTGTTAAAAAGGATCCATCGTCAGCTTTCGTTCCCTTCATTGTTTCTACCGTCCAAAACTCCACGCTCCAAACTCGCGGGAACACAGGGAAAAACTTACTGAAAAACGTATATGACAGCGTAACTGTCTCGATCCCCTTCATATTCAAATCATTCAGGTAATCCGGATCCAGATAAAAGAATACGGGCATATCCACCGTCTCGCCGGCGTTCAGCCTCTGCTCCTCAAAGCAGAAGCACTGGATCTTGCTAAAGTAGGGAGCCACCTGTCCGGGCGTGACACTGTACGTCGCCACGCCGATGATGTCCTTGTCGCTCATGTTGGTAGCCGTGTAAAAAGCCAGCGCGGTCTCACCCGGGAGAATCCGCACCTCGCGCTGCTGCGGCACAAACTTCCAGGGGAGCACGTCCGACACCGAGGCGCTGAAGGTCACGCGCATGCGCTTGGCGTCTCGGACCGGCTCGAGCTTGGCGGCGAGGTCGACGTCGGAATCGGAACCGCCGGCGCCGTGGGCGCGGACGGGTTGGCCGCCCCAGCCGGTGGTTTGGCAGATCTGTATTTTGTCGCCAGCAATGTTAGAGATGGACAGGCAGTTGAGTGAAGCGACATGGTAAGCAGGCAGCTAGGGCACAAGAGGATCCAACCAAGGAACCCATACCATCTTATACATAGGCACGGAGCCATACGAAAGCGCCACGGTACCAAGAATAACACTGATGACATAGTACATGGTCGATTGATTCCTCTTCTTGTACTCGGCTCTCACTCTCTCCATCTCCGGCGACACGCCTGTTCGGGAACTTTGGCTCCTTGTCTGTTGCTGTTGCTGGCGTCTGCTTGCGCCCTCGGTCGAGAACCACCTCCATGCCCTGCCGCTCTGTTGCTTCTTTGCACCTGATGCTTGTTGCTGTGCTGCTGTCGTCATCTTCCTCCGGGGGTCAGAAGACGCCGCCGATGGCGCCTTAGTATCGAACGAGAGTTGGCGGCGCCATTGGTTTTGGAATTCTTGGCGACACGAAAAGCAGGCCCATGAAGCCGATTGGGAGAAGGACTGAACAGCGACGGCTCTTCGGCCGACGAAGCGTGGCATCGAGCTCATGGTGAGAGGGTTGACGAGACCGACTGCTCGAGTTCACAGTCTTCTGTTTACTCCGGAAGGCGGGATGTCCAGGTACTGCCGGGCCGTGTGTGTAGGTGGGACCGGGGACATGGTTGCCCTCTCTGTGCTGCGAAAGCGTCGGAGCTCTGGAATTCTCACCGCCTAAATATGACCGGCACAAATGTGGGACGTCCCGATCACAATTGAGGGACACCCAGGGCACATGTTTGTTTCAGAGCGCAGCGGGTGCGCAGTGGACACTATGGACCGCCGTAGTTGTAAGCATGACACAAGTCATCGACATCGCCGGGAGTTGGAACCTATCGAAATTTACAGTGAGAAACAGCGGATAACAAATATAGGTAACTAAAATCTTTCAACAAGGCTCTCTTATTGATATCAAGGTAATTGGGGTATTTATGTTAATAGTATGCTTACTATAATTATTAGGTATTAAAACAACTTATTACTTAATAAAATGTAGTTTGACGGTGTTTTGTAGGAACTTTTCATTGTATTTACAATACAAATTTAGAATAGTTTCGTTAAGCTAGAATAATGTACTATACTCTTTGGATCGCTAATTACATAGAACTCTTGAATAATTAGAATTCATCAACGTCGCTCCCATCAGCACCGCTGGATACAAGGTCGTCATTGTCGTTCTCATCATCCTCATAAACAAGATCCAATGTTCCTTCGTTCAGCTGCCAGTCTACGCCTTCAGCTTCGAGAGCCTGCTTAGTCTCCTCTTCCAAGAGATCAACGCTAAAGTCCAGTGGCAGGTTTGTGGAATGGGTTTCCTTCGCTTCTAGGAAACTCTCTTTCGTAATAGATCTCAACGGTGAAAGATACCGTCTCACCCCTTCGCTAAACTGCCGTCTGGTTTCTTGCTGCAATCCATTGAAGCTAGCTTTGAGCGGCAAGCGAGGATCCTCGTCTAAATGCGCTTCGCGCCGATATAAGCCGGTCTCGACATAATTCGGGCCTTGGACGACGCCGAGAGTACGGTCTGGCAGTTGTTGAAGCTGCAGCTTGGCCAAATAAGATCGTCCTCTTGAGATACCGGATTCCGAATACAACAGCCGACCTTGAGCATCATGAGTGGGTGCCTCTGGTTCCGGGTGTGGAATGATAGATTGCGGACGCCGAATCCTCTTTGGCGATTTTTGCCCCGGGATTTTCATATGCATAAATAAGGTGCGGTCGTTGTGGTCTCCCTCATCTTGTTCGTTGAGTGACAAGACGAAGACTCGTCCACTAGCATCGCCAATGACCAGCCTGGACTTGTCGGGTGAGAACATGCCGCAGGAAATGGGTGCAGGAACCTCCAAGAGGTCGCGGACCAGTGGGTCGCGGGATCGCACATTCCAGACCTTTACCACGCCATCGGATGAACCGGTATAAAATCGGTCAAGAGTTCTTCCCCACGCGGTAAATTTGACGCCTACATCCTCGTGTTCACGATCACCTCTAAACTCCTCAATAGGTTCTCCATGACGTAAAGTATGGATCGGCTTGTCACCTTGAGCGGTGTCCCAAACGTATGTATTTCCGTCTGTGCATCCCGCCGTGATGTAGCAGGAACCGAAGCTGATGGGCATGACAGTAAGCTCATTAATATCGAGCGCCCAGCAATCTAGTGTTTGAATAGGGCTGAATGACTTTTCGCCATGTTCAGAAACGGGGGATGGGGTAAAGACCCTGATTTGGGTACGGGTGTTATAGTCCAGGTCCAGACCCAGTGGTGAAGTGGCCGCTATGAAGCAGGCTTGACTGGGATGCCATAGAACCTCAAAAACATTCTGGGTTGTAGCGGATGTTATCCGCCACCTTTCCCCTGTAAGACCATCCCAAAGGCAGAGCTCCCCCGTTTCCCTACGGTCGGGAGGAATATCAAGGTCATCCCCTGTCCTGCTGCGAGGTGAGTAGCCCACCAAAAGCAGATGCCGAACGGTTGGCGAGCGACCCCATTGCATAGTGGCAGGAAAGTAGGCCCATCTCTCGGTTGAAACAGTGTTACCCTCTGCGTCTTCCACCCGGGAGCAAGAAAAAGACCGATACGGGCTGGTCGAAATCGAGTCGTTGCTGTGGATATTGTATATGCGCACAGCGTCCGTAGGAACATCTGCTGCCGTTGCAACCATGGCCGTTGTCGACTCATACTTTGAGGCAGCCACAAAGTTGACATTACCCCCGTGAGACCACTCGCCCAACAAAACCATGGAGGAGCCGGACGGGTCTACCTTCCAGACTTTGACTTTCCGGTCAAACCCAGAAGTAAATGCCCGACCGTGGACATCGTCATAGTCCGAGGAAACAACAGATGAGTACAGCCACGGATCTTGACTCTGTCTCATAGCATCGGTCGAGTTCTCGCCCTTTTCGACAACCGGACGGACAATTCGATGATCAGAATATGCCCGCAAAGTGCCTTGGCTGCACGATCCGAGAACGAGGTTACCAGGCTTGTTGTACTGCTGATTATGAGCATCCGAATGCTCTGTTGTCCCACAAATGAAACCGTCGTTCGAGACCCAGGCAATGGTCGCAATATCTCCGGCACAATCCGTCCATTCTCTCCGCAGCTCCAACTCATCCTCGCGACACTTGACGAACTCATTCGGGAAGTTCAAGGGAGCCCGCAAAGCCGTGCCGCGGTTACCAGAGGTTTCCCTAGCAAAGAGGAGTGAATTAATCTGGCTCGAACGAGCAAGCTCACCGTGCAAGTCGTACTTATCCCTCTTCAAGGCAAGAATCGAGGGATCCCCTGCTACCTTGTGATTAACTAGGTCATGGAGGAATCGTTCAACGTCTGTCCTGTTTCGACGCGAAAGTTCACTTTCCGACCGGATGGCATCTAAGACCTTGACAATGTCTCCGCGATGCTTCTTGAGCTGCTTTCGGAGATCTTTAGCAAGATCTTGCTTCCGACTCCCAGATGACAGGCCAAGGACTCTTCGACAAAGGTTCCGCAGAGCCTTGATTTCATCGGCGGTAAAGTCGACATGGAAGATTGTAGGTCGAGGGAGCACGGAATCGTCAAACCGTACAAAGCCTTGCACACCAGCTGAAATGTTGGCCCTCTGCTCCGCTGACAGATATGGTCGTTTAGCCTCACTGAACAGCCGCGATGATAAACCTCGAGAATCAACACTGTCCTCGTGTCCCCGCCAGACCAAAGCATGCGCTCGACTTCGATAATTCTGTGCCGACGTTGTAACTATGCCACGATTTTGCGGCCTCTGCTCTTCTTCGACGCGTTTACGCCATCGAGATACTCGGCCTCGCCTCCTCGGTTCCGGCACGAAGTTTTCGGGTAGATCGACAGGTAGGTTGCTAACAGAGGGCTGGGCGACAGATGCCGACGGTGGGTCCAGAACCATCGGCGGTCTAGCGGTTGAATTTGGTTGAGGCACTGTTGTGGCCGCTGATGGTGTTCCCTTGCCTTGTTTTTCCTCGTCATCGTCCTTAATGGTAATAACCTGTGTCGAGGGCGGAGGCGGCAGTATGGTCGGTCGGTGAATTCCTGTCGTCGCATGACTGGAAACCGGAGCATGAGGGTATCGCAGCCCCGAAGGAGGGTTTACACCTTCGTGTGCTTCCTGACGCCCAGGTACTGCTGGAAGAGGTATCGGAGAGTTAGAATAGCGACGTTCATCAGCCGCGGGGAATGTAGGAGCTATAGCCGAGCCCGGACGCGGAGGCGGAGGCGGCAGCGGGGCTGAGGCATAGCCGGAAGGAGCCTGGGGAGGTGCCAGGACAGATGGAACCTTGGGGACGGGCACCGGCGTGTACGATTTGAACCGATATTCCTGGTAGCCGTTAGCTACGGATACGGTACCTTCCAAGAGAAAGCAACTGAACACATCAATAAACGTTGTTAATACGCACGGGAAGCATGAGCAATGCGCGAGTCTCCACCGGGATACGGGCAGCCAGGAGTCGTTCGAACACATCGCTTACACGCCCATTCCCAAGCTTATAAGCGGCTGTAAAGTCGGCACCAGTCACGATCTCGACGACCTGGAGGAGGAGAACTATGGGTAAGGCATGGAAAGGTAACCGAGAGAATTTAAGAGTCGTAAGGGGAGCAAATGGGAACAACTAACGAAAGCCGTAGCATGCTTACCTTTGTTCCTATCTTTTGTACGTCGTATTTGTCTCTGGGCAAATTTGCTAGCTCCCGGTCGACGTGCGGGAACACTTGATTTGCGAGGCATTGGATAAAGACGTCCTGCCTTCCCCAATGAGGAACAGTCTGAGAGTTGCCATTCTGCTGGATCTGGTTGTTGATAGTGGGGGCTATGACTGGAACGGTCTCGGTTCGCTGTCGTTTGAAAGGCGGATGTTCGAGATTGTCCGGCTGGTGCCTCTGCTCTGCTTCAACAAGAGAGCCATGGCTTTGGGTGTTGCCTGGCGCAATCGAGGAGCCTTTCGTGAGGGGGCCACGCGCGGGATCGCCAGGCCTAGGGGTAGTAGGTGTCTCTGTTAATGCTAATCCACGAGAGGTGATCGGATTTGGCACGCTAGTAGAAGAGGGTGAGGTGGTGGTGATCGTCCGTGTCACGAGGGATCGATAGGAAGAACAAGGAGATGAGGCGATCAAAGGGTAGGCGGGCACGTAACGCGCAACGCGCGTCAACAGCCGCTGAAGAAGAAACAATGTGATTTAAACTTGGTAGAGCAGCAAGATTCGTCCGAAAGAATCGTATAGTTGATGAGAAAAATAAATACAAAGAAAAAAAAAAAGAAGAAGGGAAACGCGTTAGAATAGTCCCTAGAAATCTACGTACCTGGAGTTCATTTTCAAATGTTTTGCTGGTCAGAGTATATGCTTTGGAGAGAAGAATCAAGTTGTATGTTAATTAAGGTCTGTGCTAGAGTAATTGACTAGCGAGATATGCAACCTTGTATAACATTACGTAAGCGCACTGCTAAATATACTTTAAGTAGCAGTCATATCTTTATTGATGTTAATAAATCATGAGTACTAAAATAGTAAAATCTAATTCTAGCTAATATTAGTTATATATAGTATAGTTTAGCTTATTATATATTCATAAAGTATTCACATGATTGCGTATACTAAAACTCTATATCTTGACGCTGAGCTCAAACATCACATCTTGCTTTCTAAAGTACAGCCTCCCATGAACAAATCTTATACCTTGAGTATTGTTCTATCTAGCAATTTGCAATCTTGACCTGCGGAACAGAAGGTTAAAGCAAACGATTCTCGTCTGATGCAGTAGTAACATGTCCAACAGCCCGCCAAGTTAAGCAATCACAACTGCGATCGCGATCAAGTATCCAATTTAATCCATGGAGAATGAAAAAGACACCAAGAAGACTGAAGTTCTCAAAGGCGTGCTGACATTCAAGATGACAAGGCAGACGACTGTGTGTGCGAACCTTGATGTCCCGTTATGGAGCCTGGAGACGCGAAGTCACGGGTTCACAAGCGATAGTATCGACGGCCTGGAGACGACATGCAGCGCGGGTCAATTCGTGCACCCCCTTCCGCGCGGGTGGACGGGCCTTGTCTAGGACAATCTACGGCGGTTCGTAAAGCTCGATTGGAAGGATTGAGAAGATGGCCTTCGATATCAGAGTCAGGTAAAGGGCTAAAAAAACTACCCCGCTAGTAGAGACGAACGTGGAACAATCTAGGGTAGATTGCATTGAAGGTAGGTAGCAATTGTAGTTTTTCTTTTTATTATTACTTGTGGTTAGTGAGCAAGTTCGTCTCTAATAATATATAAAATCTGTATGTATTTTGATATCTAAAATTTATAAAGCATTTTTAAGCCATAATGGCAGTTTGGTATACAAACAATGCAGATTTGACTCCCGTGAATATTGTAGTTTCAACCTCTCCTCTTCTTGCCCCCTTGCTGGGCGCCGCCACCAGTGCTCGCCGCTGCATCACCAGATGACTCCTCCTTCTTGGCGCTGGTACCGGCAAGGAAAGCAGCCATATCAAAGTTCGGTGCCGCCGGAGCGCCACCGCCACCCATGAGAGCGTTCATGGGGTTCTTCTTCTGATTCTCCTCCCATTCAGCGCGCATTTCGGGGTCCACTGAGGGTACTGTTAGCAGCAATTACTTGGGGAGGCGGGAAAAAAGAAGCACACGTACTGTTCTCAACCAGCTTCGGCATGCCAAGGAAGATGACCATGCTGACCAAACCGAGAAGAATCATGGGGTTGCGGAGGATCGAAAGAATGGAGACTATAGAGTTCAATGCGGTTAGTATGTCAATCACCATCATGAAGTACGGCTCCCCCGTTGCAACACTCACATTTACTCCTCTCCATGAAATACCCCTTTTCTCCCAACACCTTCGCCCCAAACACCACACCTCCATCCCTCCCGTTTTTCAGCGTCTGCCTCGGCGCCTCCTCCCCCTTGTTATCCCAATCGTTACCCCGATACGTCTGCCACGCCTTCACCTCCAGCTTGACGTTGCCGTGTCCGTCCCCTTCCTCGAGCACGCCGTCCAGGGTGGGCGCCACGTCCACCCGCAGCGGAGCAAACGCGTGCGTCGCGCAGTGGATGTCCAGCAAGTACGAGCCCTGCGTGACGTTCCTGAAAACAAGCGTGTTGGCAACGCTGAGGGGGGCTGACTTGGTCTGTCCAAAGGTCGAGAGCGTGCCATGCGTTGAGGGAGGGAAGACGAAAAGCTTGCCACTGACATCACCAGGAGGGGCGGATGGGAGGGAAATGGTTATTGAGGTCTGCGGGAGGTGTTGAGCGAGCGCTGCTAGGGCGGTCGAGGCCGAGCCCAGGAAGGCGAGGGTGATGGTGACGAGTTGCATGTTGGAGTTGGGCCGATTATCGAGTTGTCGAATTTGGTTGTTTACCGGCTCTGCATACTCGAGAGAATCAAGACGACAATGAGTGCGACCGCGACAAGATGGAAGAAAAGTGGTGATGTGCGCCGGGTGCTTGACGTAGGTTGTATGGTAGAGGTCGCGGTCGGGGAAGCACAAAAGCGACGTTTGGGTGGAGTTTTGGGCTTGGGGGGGAGCTCTTAGAGGTACAACGAAGTATGTAGCTGTGACGAAATGGCGGGCGCGGCTCTGAAGGGACCGTGCAGGGGTTTTGATTGGCGCTGCGAGTGACACGCTCTGGGACATCTCTACGGCACTTCAGTAGGTAGAGAGCCTACCACCACGAAGGGCAACAAATGCCTAGTAGTAGTATCATAATGGAGCCGACATAAAGCATCATCGAATGGCTATGATTGAACCAACCATAGTAGTTTTTGATTCATACACAAAAGGGATGAGAGTCAACGACATGTCAAGATATCAAAACAGCACCTCAGCTAAGCACCAGAACCAACAAGCAAAGTGGTAAGTGTCCAGCTCAGATCAAAAGGCAGGTAGATTCATGCACATAAAACTCCGACAACGCTGATGATGACAACGACAGCACATCCTTGGCCTTCCCAACTCCCTTTCTATAGCTTGGCCTTGTTCTGGGCAGCAGCGTTGATCTCCTCGTACATGCGGTCGATTTCGGCCCTGAACTTCCTGGCGGCCTGAGGACGCTTGAGTTTGAGACTGTGTTTGTGCATGTTAGTATCCTGCCCGAGTTCTTCACGCATGTTGTTGTAGTAGGATGACCAGAATCAGGACTTACGTTGGCGTCAAAAGCTCATTCTCAATCGTAAACGGCTCAATATCCAAATAAACATTCTTGACCTTCTCGTAGCTGTTGAACTTGTGGTTCTTGCCAATGCCATCCAGCAGTTTGAGGAAAGCCGTCTTGACACGGGGATCGTTGGCGGACTGCTTCAGCTCTTCAAGGTTTTCAGGGGCAATGTTCTTCTTGAGTATCCTGCTGGCATAGGGCGCGAAGGTGACGGAGTCGATTCCAAAGATGGCCACCAGGCTGGACTCCTTGGGATCGCCGTGCACAAACGCCATGGCAATCAGGTTGGTGCTGGCCATGTATACGTTCTCGATGCGCTCGGGCGAGATGTACTCGCCCTGCGCCAGCTTGAGCACGTTCTTCTTGCGGTCGATGATCTTGAACCGGCCCATGCTGTCGACCTCGACGATGTCGCCCGTGTGGAACCAGCCGTCCGCTTCAACCACCTTGGCGGTTTCTTCCGGGTTCTTGTAATACTCCTTAAACATGATGGGACCGCGCATGAGCAGCTCGCCGCGGGGGTGCGGCTTGTCGTCGACAGTGTAGTCGAAGTCTGGCACGGACTCGATGCAGAGCTCGACACAGGGGCAAGGGGGGCCAATGTTGCCGGTGGAGAAGTCGCCGGGAACCTGGGCAGTGCCCGTGGCGTACGACTCGGTCATGCCGAAGCCTTGGATGAAATCGTTGCCGAAGGCGGCGCGGAGGAACTGGTGCACGTCAGGGTCGAGCTGGGCGGAACCGCTGACCATGGTGCGGGCGCGGTCGAGGCCCACGCCCTTGAGCACCTTCTTGGTCCAGATGCGGTCATACAGGAAGTGCTTGTTGGTGGCCTTGCCGGCGGGCAGGGCCATGCTCTGCTTCTTGGCCTCCACAACGTAGCGGGACAGGGTGCCCTTGAAGCCGTCGGCGTCGATGGTGGCGGCCTGCACAGCGCTGCTGATGCGGTTGTAGAGACGCGGGACGGACATGAGGCCGGTCGGGCGCAGGATCTTCATGTCCTCGACCAGGCCGGCGATGTCGCCATGGAAGTAACCGATGCTAGCGCCCTCAGCCAAAGCGGTCTGGTCGGCCATGCGACCGTAAATGTGCGCCAGGGGAAGGTAGGAGATGTGGATATCGGAGGAGAGGATGCTCTGCATCGAGCGGGCAGCAGTAATACCGGCCACACCCTGAGCATGGGTGATCAGGACACCCTTCGGGTCGCCAGTAGTGCCCGAGGTATAGTTGATGGTCAGAACATCCTCACGCTTGGGAGGCTTCATAGAGAGGCCCGACTTGACACCCAGCGCCTCAACCTCATCGATGGAGAAGATCTTGATGCCCACGTTGGAGGCGGCGGCATTGAGAAGCTCGCGCTTAGTGTGGCCGGCAGGCTCACCAGCATCCAGGGGATCCAAAGAGATGATGAGCTTCAAGGTTGGGCAACGCGGCGCGACCTTGAGGAGGGTCGGGATATGGGGCACAGAGCATGCAATGGCAGTGAGGCCGCTGTGGTTGATGATGTACTCGGTAGTCTCGGGACCAAGAGTTTCGTAGAGAGAGATGGGGAACAGGGACTGGGAGAGGAGCGCAAGCTCTGTGATGCTGTTAGCATACCTCGTGCATCATGCACGTGCACGGCGCATTGTGTCCAAGTACTTGCCAGTGATCTGCCACTCGGGACGGTTCTGCGCCCACAAACCAACGCCATACTTCTCCTCGGTGAAGCCGATGGACTTGTGGATGGCAACAAGGCCGGCGCCAAAGTTCTTCCTCCGCTCAGCAACCTCCTTGTAAGTGATCCAAACATACTTGGGCTCGTAGGTCTTGGTGGCAGCGTTCCATGGGCGCCATCCCAGGCACTTCTTGTTGGGCACCTTCTCAACTGAGGCTTCAAAGAGATCGTGAACCGTCTGGTGAGCCGGGTCGAAGGTCTCGAGGAGAGGGCTGTTGACGAACTTCCAATGACGATAAACTGCCGTACGGTTCGGTCGCTGTGTTCCGGGAACAGGCAGGGCGTAGGGAGTCCCAGGAGGTGGCGGTTCTGCAATCGACTTGATATAAGCCGCGGTATCTTGTGTGGGCGCCATGGTTGGTTACAGAAGAGGACTGACTGGGTCGCGTAGTAGTACTGTGCCGGCCAAGGAAGGAAATAATACGTATCGCAAGAGGCGCACACTGAGGTTATCGCCAACACCGTCACCGAC